AGAAGGCACTAGAGGCGTTTTGTAAGCTTCTTCCTAAATAACACTACAATAATAAAGTGACATTTTTTTTTTACTATTTTTTAATAAGTAAAATAATTCACAATGTTGGCCCTACGTTTTCGGCCGGACCTGAACGATCTATCAAACCAAAAACCAGGCCTCCGTATATATGTAATTAATTTTTAATTAAAAACGCAGTTCCGGACCGATACGACTTAGGGACCTTCAAGAAAAGAGCGTACTCCTTTTTAAAAGGCAACGCATCTGCAATTCCCTCCCTGGTGTTGCAGTTGTTCATGGGCGGTCACTTACCATCAGGTGAGCCGCATGCTCGTGTGCCCCCTCTCCTATAAAAAAAAAGTTTTATAAATCAACGGATAAGTAAGCTGAAGTGGCAATGGGCCGGCCATATAGCTCGAAGAACCGACAAGCGACGGGGAACAAAGGTTCTCGAGTGGCAGCCTTGTACCGCTAGGCGTATTGTTGGGCGGCTCTCACTAGATAGACTGACAACTTGGTTAGGCATGCAGAGTCTTGGCCCAAAGCCGTATTTTAGGGCATTCCTTACGGGAGGCCTATGATCACCAGTGGACTTGTGAAGGGTTGAATGAATGAATTCATAACTTTATTAACATAAAGGAAAATACGATGGTGAATGCTGATGATATAATATCTAAATAACATAGTTTTATGTATAGTGCCAATGAGAGCATCCACTTTTTCTGCTACCGGGGTGGGGCTACTTAAAAATGAGGTGAAATAATTTACTGATTTCAAAGCTGAGAAGTTAATTTGTGAGAAAAATGTAAGGGTTAATGTTTCTTTCTGTACTATTATCTATATTTTATATTACTTAGATTAAAAATAAATAAACCTAACCACAGATATTCATAAAAATAGAAAAATTAAAAGAAGAGTTAAAATTGTGCAAAAAATTAATTAACAAACCACTGAGGCATTGTTTTGTGTATTAATACTGTAAAAACTGATAACTTTTATCTAAATCTAACTTCCCAACAATTGTGTAACAAAAAAATTTTACCTCAGTGTCAACTAGCGACATCTAGTGAGTGAAAAATTATTAGCTCTCATTTGAGCAAGTTGGTAAATTGAGACACGCTCCTTTGGTATAATGTTGCTACCACTACAATATATTACTGGGCGAACTGAACTGGGCTCTCAGTAAGTAAATTGTATTAACTTTCAATAATACAAAGTACAATACAATATATAAAAGAACTTTCTGATGATAACCAGCGAAATCGTTAGAACACCGCCACTATAGATTACTGGACGTACTTTCGAGTCCTGGAACGTTGGAGGGAGGTTAGAAATATCCGTAATAATATCAAGAAGAGTTTATTTCAAACTCTACAATAGTTAACACTCCAGCGGGGCTAGCCAACATGATTTTGTACGATCATTATCGTTATAAAAAACTATAAAAATGACTGGGAATGACATGGTTAAGTCAGGTGACGTAACATTTGATTTAATTCATTTTTATAGTTACAACGGGGTCGAGCTAAGATTTGCATCTTTGTTGCCAATGCGCACGTCTTAATTTTCGTCTTTTATTTGTTGAGCTTTTGGATTATATTTGTTGTTACGTCATTCGCACCAAGTGCAAACTAAGATGCCGCCTCCACGAGCGAGAGAATTGCCACGAGTCCGCGCTTCTATCGTCGGGTAGTCTCTACGAATGAGCGATTATTCAGACAGCGTATCGTCGCGACTAGTAACGGAATCGTCGCGTGTCCGCGACAACTCGTAACGAAATCGCTACGTGTCTACGCTCTCACTGCGAGAGAGTCACGTTCCGTGGCGAGCGCTCGGCGATACAATGACGTTTCGCTCACACTCAGTCACTCGTCGCATCGCCGCGATAACATCGGCGTGTGTATACACGTTCTAAGAGTGTATAGAAATACGTGGCACGACAATAATATCGCCGCGATTCTCTCGCTCGTGGAGGCGGCCCCTTAGTTCAACCGAGTCGTATCTATAGCGTAAACAATCGTAGTGTCACCTTGTCTAACCCTGCTCCTATATCATAACATGACATAATTCTATTTCACGATGAAGTTTTGACTTTGTTTGTTGTTAGCCGTGCACATAGACACTGTGTTAGTGTGCGTAGGCTGCGGGTGCTCGCGTGTAGCGCTCCCGAGGATATATTTGTATACTTATAATAACAATAAAAAAAATATTTTCTAAGTTGCGTCACTTCCTCCCCTTCATCATTTAACCCTCTCAGATATGAGGAGCCTGTTTCCAGGAGTGGGAGAACTTTCTTCCCGTCAGAATTTAACCATCTAGGAAATGAGGGGTCTGTTCCCGGGAGTGGGAAACGTATAAAAGTTAGAACTTTACTATTATGTCACTTTATTATTGCTGGTAAGTGGTATATAGTTTTTATCGTTGGATAACATTCACGTACGGACAGCGGAAATTTTGTACCATAATTGTATATAAATGTGTCATTAAAAATATATTTTTATAAAGTTAGTAGAAAAATTACATACTTTTGGTAGGGCATTACATATATTTGGACCGCATTCTGAAGTAATGTTTCATTCTACCCGCAAAAACAAAGTTATTCAAATTTGAAAGATATTTTTTTCTCGTAGCAGAAACCCAATTATACCATGTTATGCACATCGTTTTAAAGATAATTGAATGTATTTTGGGATTAGTTACTCGATATTTTTCAGAAATATTTAATGATTAATTAATTGGAATAAAGGATCATTATTTTGTCAGTTTGTGAGTTAGATCATTTCTACACAACACGATCCATTTTAAACTGCCGACAAATAGACTGATAATACATATTATACAAATTAAGTCAACATGTTTGACTTTAATAAAAAAAAAAACTGTGCCCAGTAATGGACAGACAATTTATATGTATATATATATATTTAAAAAAGCCTAGAACCATCCGTACGTCTTTGCATATTTATTATAAGCAACACTAATTAATAAATTCTTCATAAGCAAATTTTACATAAACTATACCTAACTTGGATTAGTTTGCATCGCATTTTATGGTTGTTAGCACAACTCAGCGCTGGAAAAGTTACAAACGTTGCGTCACAACGACTTTGGCAAAAACTAAATCTGTCTCATTACAAAACGTGGTTTAATTATAGTCTCAGGTAACTATGGTCTAAGGCGCGGTTTTCTGACGTTGAAGTTTTTAACGCTTCCACAAATATGCATGCAGCGGTTCTCCGCATATTTGCCCTGCATGGCTAGCATGGGCGGGGGACAAAAATTTTATCCCCCGATTATATCCACTGACAAGAGATAAAATTATCTTGTCCCTATGCCAAAGCACGGCAACGGGGAGAAGTATATCCCCGTGGTGAAACAGATTATAGATTAAATTAAACCTGGGGCTAATTATAAACTACTTTTTGTAACAAAACCGAATATGTTTAACTAAATGCTTTTAAAAAAACATATTTCATCTTAAAATAATCTTGAACAATTCATGCGCTTAACAACGCACAGTGGACAGTTTTATATAACTAGTTAAATTGGTTAATTACGTCAAACGTCGAACAATGAAATAGTGGTATACTTAAAAGAAGTAGAAACTAACAACAATTAAAACAAAATGGCGACGGACATAGATCATAAATTAATTTTTAACGTGTACGTTTAATCAGTAAAGAGAAAAAAGTGCATATTATAAAATAATTGTTCATTATATTAATGTATTTTTCTCAATTTTAGAATTATAAATATCAGCACACATTTCGGTTTTTTAACTTCATCATATTAATTCATGGCGCGATGTATCATAGTGCCATTTCATACAACCGATATCCTAGTCTTACCAACTTATCAGTAGAGACGGGCGCGGACGCTGCTATCGTAAAATTGCCAGTGAAATGACAAATTTCGTCCGATTTTAGAATTTCTCTTTAATTTTAGTTCCAATTTTCGTGAACGCTACTGATAAGTTGGTGACACTGTACACAACACTATTTTAAGTTTTTTAGTTTAAAAAAAACCATTGATTTAATTATCACTGGTAACATTTTATTACAGTGATTATTTAATAAAATCGTAAAACTAATTAACTATGTGAAACATTAATAAAAGCAAAAAATTAAACTCGCTTATTCATCGAAACCGGATGAATTTATTATCTGTCCAACAATAAGATGTGGTACGTCTAAAAAATTACGATTACGAATAAAAATCTACGTTCAATAAAAATTCTTCATATATATTTTAACGAATTCTGTCAAAAACAGCTATGACGTCATCTTAAACGACATGAGTCATAATTATTTAATTTTTCAAGTGAATTAAGTGTGGTAAAAGACATATGCGCTGTGTTTGTGCAAGCAATTATAAGTCGAAAAACATCAAACCACTATCCTAATTTTTAGTTTTAAAATTTTAAATGCAAACGCTAAACGAGAAATATAAGGCCACGCTGTATCACAAACGGGTGTGTTTTTTTTTCACAGAACCGATTGCAATCGATAAAATTCCAAAAACTTTATCGATTTTTTAAAGATCAAATATTTAGGAAGCATCAAAGTTTTATTATTATCATATTTGTTGTTTTAATTTCTTTTATCCACAAGCCAACACTTCTTCACAATTTACATTTATTTAACATAAAGAATGATAAAGGTGACAATTATAAGTTTTTCATGTGGTGTGGTGTTTTTTATGCATGCAAATTGTATATCATTTTAATATAATTCATTGCGAAAAAGAAATCCTTAGCGACTTAAGTATTAGATTTAATCAAATACATTTTTACGTGCTGTAAATTCTATTAAATCGGCGTCCGACTGTTGAGTGCGGTACGTTATTAAATAAAAAAATACAAAACAATGTAATTGATAGTGTTTATGTAAATAGTCTGTCAAAATTAATTATCTGTGGTTATACAAAACAATTTTTCATAAATCTAAGTTGAATGTGCTATGAATTAATCTTAAACGTAAAGAAATAATTATACACATAATAATATATAAAACTTTAATAATAGAAAGTACTAAAAAACTTTACATTAAGCACATTTTTTGTCAGTGTTATTCCTAAAGCAATGGCACCAGCTATGGTGAACGACATAATTAATTATGTTTAAAATAATTCAGGTGTATGTTTTCATCTGTGATATTTTATTATTTACAGGTAATTGTTTTCTCTTTCTTAATGCATTTATCGAAAATATATTTAACTTATCTACAATTGCACTGTATTACTTGGTACTCTGGTGTGCCTGTCAAATTAAAAAAAAAAAACAAAAAGGCGCCAAAACCAATGTCACTAAGCCTCTCCTCCGTATATATATGCGCTCGAGTATTTAATTTTTTTTTTTGGTAAAACCTTGATATTTTCTTATTTCATACTTTAATAAAAACATCGGTTGTATATTCATATTATTCTTTAAGAACGCATAAGTGCAAAATTGCGATTTGACAATTTAACATACATATTAATAAGTTGTATATTTTACACAAATATAAAATTTACATTAAATCCAACATTTAATATTTTTAAACAGTGCTTGACATTATATAGTGTGAAGTGAAAGGCGGACCATCTCATGAATGTATTAAAATATATATAACCAGAGTTAAGTAGAAAGTAAAATACAAAGAAATGACACTTTAAAACGGCGTCTTTAGGTTATTTTTAGTAGTCTATATTATCTGTCAAATTTTGGCGCTATCTGTCGAAGGGACTTTTGGTAACATCATTATTGCAAATCGGCTGCACTATATCAAAACCCAGTAATTCCGTAAAGTAAAAAATTCCGTTTAAGAACGCGAAAAAAATTTAAATCTCCCATAAAGATTTTGTTATTTTGAAATCCTGTTATAAACTACTACGATGAATAAATAATCAAATTCTAGATGACGAATTCGTTAAAACTCCATTATTAGGTATTCAACAGACTTCAAAAAAGGAGGAGGTTCTAAATTCGATTGTATTTTTTAATGTGTGTTACCTCAGAACTTTTTTCTAGTTGAACCGATTTTGACGATTATTTTTTTATTCATATGGCCCCATATAAATTTGATCAAGATCTGACCAGTAGGTTTTGAGTTATCCTTAATAATTCGTTTTAAATATACTTCGATTACATTGATGATGTTCTCATTTTATATATTTTGAAGTCGGCTGTACAAAATTTTTAATTTTATCACTTATTACAACACAAATTGGGATTTAAAACATGGACAAACGGAGAGAGGACGACGCTCTCATAGAATACCAGCGTAAAATAGTAACTTAATGCTGCTGTGTTTCGTATGATAAGTGTAGAGAAGCGGATACCCTTTTTACTGGAAACGAGGCATTCCGCCTTAGTCTGGCAACGCATCGGCATTTTGGGGACCACAGGTGGACTGTGCGCTCGTTTATCACCCTTATTCTATAAGCAATACTAAAATAAAACTAGAAGTTTTGAGGTTATGTTAAAATTTACAACACATGGAAATGTCACATTTCAACCGCTAATGATTTTCTATTATTATTTATTATCTACATAAATAAAATATAATAAAATAAACTTTTTTAAACAGCCTGTACAGGGTTTTGATATAGCACAACCGAATTCTATTGTATATTTACTACACTGGGATGGTTCACTTTTCTTTCACGCTTCACAGTTAATAAAGATTAATTTAGAATGCTTCACATAACACAATATATAATAATATAATCTATGGCACGGTAATGAACTTGCCGACATAAATATCAATGTTATGTTAGCTCCTTTACAATTGACTCGAAGCACCTGTATGATATTTTTATCGACCTAAAACATCGATCACTAATAAAAAAAAAACTAGATACACAATCCCATGCTAAAGTTCTCTAAAAACCGTCTACAATTGTTTTGACGTAAGTCTAGTTGAAATAAAAATACATTAATGTAAATTCAACTTTAAACTCATTGCCTAAAGTTGTATTCACAATGCTAATTACAAATTAAAAGCGCACCCAAATGTTCGAGCGGGCGCTCATTCGGTGAGGACATTATCTAGTTTTTTTATTAGTGATAGATGACTTAAAACTGCAAAATAAATGACGCAGACGATACCTAAGGAAGAAATATTTTCAAATTAATCGTAAACGTCATCCGTAAATTAAAAAATCGACTAATTTCTAAAATTATATGCCTCACTAGGTGATAGCACATTTCACTGTGTAAACAGACTACTATGGATGGAATGAAACAGACTACTATGGCTAGAATGTCTGTTTAACACAAGTTACATTCATTCAAACACATAGCATCAGCATAACATACGTCACACTATGACACAGGCCTCTTCCCATTTTTATAGGGTTCAGAGCAGGAAGTAGCTTTATACGCGGTAAAACCATGCTGGAGCAATGTTATATTTGTAGTTGTACGAATAGGTCGGCTCAACTGGGGAAGGATCACGCTCTCACAGAATACCAGCTCAATGCTGCTGTGTTTCGGATGGTGAGTGTAGAGAATCAGAGATCCTTTTTGCTGGAAACGAGGCTTTCCGTCTTAATACTCACGGGTGACAACGCATCTGCATTTTGATTCATAATCGATGATGATATTGATGATGATTATGATAATGATGATGATTATTATTATACTTTGTTTTGTTTCCATTCCATCCTTAGTAGTCCTCAGGGGTGACAGCGCATTTTGAGTATTGATCTAGGATGGATGTTGATGTCTATGGGCCTGAGAATTCACGTACCATCAGGAGGACTGCGTGCTCGTTTGTACAACTCTCTAACCTATTTATGCCTTGCTATTATCCCGTCTGAAGAGTATAGAGTCGTATTATTACAGGCTAGGTATTCCATCTCATTCCTCAGAGGTGACAACACATCTGTAGGCTTCTTTGTTTGAATTTCACTGCAGGTAAGTGTCCATGGACTACAGTAGCCACTTCCCATCAGGTAGACTACGAGTTCGTTATGTCCAGCAGTGGACTTTTGTTAGACTACACTATTAATATTCCCCCATATATACAAGCACCTCAAGTTCCAAGAAGGTCGGGGGCACATAAGGTCCCATATTTATCTGGGACTTTTGAATAAAATTGTTAATTGCAATTTTAAGTGCTGATTTACCACGTGTTTAGCGGTGAAGGAAAACATCGTGAGGAGACCTGCATGTCTGAGAAATAAGAAAAAAATATATTTCGAAGACATGTGAAGTTCGCCAACCACGCATTGGGGCATCGCGGCGGACATTTCCTTGGCCTAAACCACTCAGAAATGAGAGGAGGCCTGTGCCCAGTAGTGGGGTCATCTCGTATAAGGCGAATAATGGGATATTGGGTTTGTGAATGTGTTGGCGATATGGTGGCCACCAATAACTTCTTTCAGTTTTCCATCTAAGCCCAGATTTAACCTTCGGGTAATACAAACGTGACGCTATGTATGTGCAGAGCCACGTTGCAACTAAACTACCTGTAAATAGCTGTAGCACGAATCTGTCGGCTAGACCGGGATAGGACAACACTCTTACAGAATACCAGCGTGAAGTAGCAACTTAATACTGTTGTGTATCGTATGGTGAGTGTAGAGAACCGGAACCTTTTTACTGGAGACAAGGCATCCGATCTTAGTCCTCAGGGGTGACAAAGCATGTGCATTTTGATTCTTAATCGAGGGTAAATATAGATGTCTATGGGCCACAACATCCACTTACCATTAGTTGAACTGTGTGCTCGTTTGTCACCCTTATTCTATGAAAAAAGGAAACTCAAGTACTCACCTCACTTCATGCTCATGTTGGCGCTGTAGAAGTCGAAGTCATCCAGACCATCAGGTTCGAAGGCCCTAATTTGCTCAAAGAGCTCACTGTCCATGAAGCTGCTCTCGGTCTGTGCTGGCGTTGCAGCGCTGAAGTAACTGTTGTTGTTGTAGCAGTAGTAGTGTTGGTTATTGGAGAGGTCATCGAGTTGCGATTGTTGATAGCGTGATTGATTGTTGTTGTTATTGATTGATTGATTGTTATTGAAAATGATATCATGTGATATTGTAGATTGCATGATCGTTATGTAACATTAATGTTAATAATGTAGATATCAGTGTTAGTAGATTGGTTGTTATTGTTAATGATATCGTGTGATAATTGTTGATTGCGTGATTATTATGTAACATTAATGTTGATTATATGAGGTGATTTGTAATATGTTTGGTATAGTAATTAATATAAAGTGACGTGTTGAAAGTATGTAGTAACGAATTTTGAATTTTTAAATTAATGGTAACAAAATTGAATGATTAAATTTTTACATTTCGTCATGAAAAAGAATAAAATTAAAGTCAAATTTGTGCGAGTTATATGTGTGTGTGTGTGTGTTGAGTAAAGGACGTTCAGTTATGGTTTCATTTCCAAATTCGAAGTTCAGTCGCCATCGGGAAGGTGAATCGGGAAAGAAAGAGAAAATGCAACACGTTAGAAGACGGTCGATAAATTATTAAACAGTGAGAGAGAAAAAAATAAGACATCCACATTTAAACTAATCCTCGCCAAAAATGGCAGCACAGACATAAAGGCTTAACGTGTGCCCGGCTCTACAGAATACAACTCTAACAGCAGTTTAAAATATAATTTAAAAAGAAAACAATAATCGTATAGAATAAAAAAGAAACGACCGTCTGTGTTGCATTTTCGCATAGGATAGAAAAATAAATTGTCTTTGTTTTTTTTTTGTTTTTACTGAAAGTACACACGTCGATGGAAATCCAAAGACAATCTTTTTTTCGTCGAAATAATAACAACGCGTTTTGATGTCACATATAATTGTATTATAAATACATCGAAATATTTATCTAAATTACATTTGTCATGTAGAATTAATCAAAATTCTTACAATGTATCTTTGTTATAAAAAAAAAATGCGATAGTTAACAATATATTATTAGTATTTTGGGCTTTTAAATAAATGCAGATAAAGGTCATAAGGATAATGATGATGAACACGTTTCATAACGTAAAAATTTTAGTCAATTTGTCAGCTTATAAAAAAATTCTTTTTTTTTGTGCCAGTCAACTAGTTTTGGCTATTTACGTCACTGAGATAAATATTCAAAAATATCAACTATAAAATACAACCCTTAACCACAGCCTAAGAAGAACATACAGTCAGTCATCGCGTTTGATGTTGCCGGTAAAGCCGACATAAACAATAAATTGCTAGGGTTGTCGGTACATTTGAATTTGTTTGATTTTACCGCACATGTTGTAGTGTGAACAATTTATTTGCGTGACAAGACAACCCTAGCGGACAGGAGTCTAGACGCCTTCTATGACTGACTGTTAGTAGTAGAGACTGTGCCTTAACATTTATGAGAGACTAGCTGTTCCCCGCGACTTCGTCCGCGCGATTTCTTGGTGGAATTTATTACGGTTGCATTGCATGGGTTTTGATTTTTTTTATTGTTTTTCTAAAATAAAAATAGCCTAAGTGACTCGTTATAACATCAGCTATCTACCAGTGAAAGTCCCGTCAAAATCAGTTCAGCCATTTCTGAGATTAGCCGAAACAAACAGACAGACAAAAATTTTAAAAATTGTTTTTTGTTATAATTAATGTATATACAAAAAAATTTTGACATTACAAACAGACACTCCAATTTTATTTATTTGTAAATAGATGTGACGGGATTATTACTTTTACAGCGATCATAATTTCAGTTTCATTTTATAATATTACATTGTTAACTAGACCGCTCATAACATTAATATTTAATTTCTTAAATATTAAAAACACATATTCGTATAAATTGTTGCCTCCACAAATTTACAGTCGTTTTTCTCTGATTTTCACTAATCTTTTCCAACATCTTAATACTCTGAAAGTAATTAAATAAAGTAGATTCCAAATATTTGCAAGCTGTTCGACGTTTTGGAGCGTGTTTTTTGTTAATTTTTTTTAAATTACGTCTAGATTATTAATATTTTATAAAACAGTCACATCCTTTATCGTAAATATCATAGACTGTAAGTGCGAGACAAAGATCTCTATATCTCTCTATCTCTCTCACACATGCAGTATATGTTTTAAATAACACAGATTATATTAAATAAAGAATCAAAGAATGTTCAGTGTGATAAATTCTCGGTTACATTACACGATATGATTGATATTTACGACTTTGATTATACAATTTAATATTGACAAAACTCTTTCAAGAAAGGCATAAAGTAACACACATATGAAAAATAATTCATTCCTTATATTTAAAAGCAGTGAAAAGATCTCTCGAAATAAATTACACAAAACTGTGCTAGGTAAATGGTAGAGAGATATCACAATTATACGACGACAAGAGATTCAGAATCACGAAAATAGAAGCCTCGTCTAACGTCAAACGGAGGTCAATCATTATTCTTTGTAGTTCTTGCAATTCACGAGGTCGTGCTGGCTCTGCTCGTGGTGGAACGTGTGCATGCACGTTGCGATAGTGTGCGTGTGTGACGGAGCGATCAGTTGCGAGCGTGCCGTCGCTAACAAAACCAGCTTTTGGTTTCACGCACACTTTGACACGTATACAAATTCGTGATTACCACGAAGTAAAGTCCGCTCGACTTCGTGAATTGCAAGAACCATAGAGATACTTTTAGTCAGTACGTTATTTTCAAGAGATAGTTTCACTGCGTACACGGTATGTCATGGCGTCGCATAAAATGTCAAATGCATAGAGATCATTAATTGCAAATTGGTCGAGAAAAATGCCTTAACTGTTTTTTTTTTTACAAAATTCATAAATTTGGTCATCGGTAAAAATATTATCCAATACAAAAAATTCTACATAAACTATTAGATCGGGAATTCAGAACAAAAACTGTGTCACGAGCCGATCCACGAGCAGATAGCTAGCACGGTAAATATGTCCCACAGTTTTATTTTCATTTACACTAGTTACTGTTTTTAGGCAAATATGAAATAAAGATACATACTTATCTGAACTAAACTTTAAACCACGTTGAAAAACTGCGCACATGAAAAAATGACAGCGTTTTCTTAGTCACATTAAACAAAATCAGTGTTAGATTGTCAAAAACAACGTTCACAGTTTACAAAACAAAGAACCAGTCTTCTCGCCCGCTTGCAGTCGACTAAAGGAATTATGGAGAATTAACCGTAACTTAACGCGCAATGTATTAGTACCGTAGTGCCCGTCTAGTAGGATAAAAAGAAGTATTTCGTCCAATAATACATTTTCGAACCAAACATAACAACTGATTGGCGAGAGTTGATAAATATTATGACAACGTCACGCAATAGCGGCTGTCGCTTAAGTATAGCAATCTGTGTGAAGGTTTTTTATTATCTATCAGCAAAACTAATAAGCGGGCCGCAATTTGTTATGAGTTTAGAAACTCTGGTTTTTTATTGTCTATTAGCAAAAATAATTAGCGGGCCGCAATGCGTATATATATTATATTTCTTACTTGTAAACTCATTTAATGTATTACTATTTATTTAAATGCTATTTATGAACAATTATAAATAACTACAATTTGTGCCCATTCGTCTCTTACACAACTCGACATTATTCGTAAATAAATGTAATCTATAATAAATTTGCGTAATGTAATTTGTAATTTTTCGTAAGCTCAATTGTAAACTTGAAAGTTGTAACAACCTTTATAACTTTCAAGCAACTTCTTAAAAACAACTAAAAATTTTTCAAAAAAAAAACTGTGGTTGCTTTCGCAAATATCCCAAGGCAAATATGGCAGGCTTATGTTTAGCAGTATACTTTTATAGGCTGTAATGGGTATGAAAACTAAAAAGAACACGTGTTTTAAGTGTCACCGAAATCATATATTATATTATAATAATGAAAGATCATAATAGAGAATTTTTTAAGGGATGTTTAATATTCCAGCGGGAAATGTTGATTTGTAGTATTGCTTTTTTTTTAATTACATTTGCAAAGGACGGTTTTAAAAAATTTACTTTGGAACTAGCAAATTGTAAAACTAACTTCTAGTTTGAGATTTAACATACTATAGGTAACTGTAAGACCGTTTCAACAACACAAAAATTTTAAATATTATCATACTCTGTTTTGTTTCGCAAACATAGATAGATCATTTATAATATTAAAGCTAAGAAAAGTAGGCTACGTTAAATTCTGTTTTTTTTTGTTGTTGAAATTGAATTTCGTTGACTTGTGTTGCCATGTAAAAGGTACATATTTAGTAATAATTACATTAGAAAAGTGTCTGATAATAAATTGGTGTGTAAATATTAAAATTATTGTGATATTTTTTTTCAGTATTATCTCAGATCAGAAAAGAAAAAAAAACTGGCCAAGTGCGAGTCGGACTCGCGCACCGAGGGTTCCGATCAAATCCGTAGGTATACAAGTTTAAAACTATTAAAAATATTTTTATTACATGATGTAACTAAAAATTTATGCTTTGCGCAATTTTTCCTTTATCTGTGCTATACGTTACTTCGTACCAAATTTTAAGATTCTGAGTTCACGGGAAGTACCCTGTAGGTTTTGATTCCCTTGCGAATGTCGAAAATTTACGGCATAAACGGCTGTATCTTTTGATTGCATAGGCTTAGAAGTTTGATTTTTTCACAGCTCCAAGGGACAGTAGACTTGAGTATTTGATATGAATTTCAGCTTGATACCTCCACGCGTTCCTAAGAAAAATGGTCTTGACAGACAGACAGACAGACGGACAACAAAGTGATCCTATAAGGGTTCCGTTTTTTCCTTTTGAGGTACGGAACCCCAAAAAATGCTTACATTTCGAGTGAAGTCATTATCTTGACACGCGACACATCTTTCTCTTTCTTTCTGTATCAACTCTTAAAAGTTCACAGCTGGGCGCACACACATCTAAAACCTGTATGCATCTAAAACCATTTTTATAT